TGTCACTAACTCATAGTGCCATAACAGAAGTTTATACTAAAGCACTGTGGGACTCCAGGGAAGGGGCTGGTTTTTGCCTGCAGAAGTCAAGGAAGGCTTCTGAGTTGTGCTGCATTCAGCATTGCCAGAGTTGCGGGGTGTGGGGGGTCGGTGAAGGATTAAAGAAGACAAGAGAATAAAGCTCGGATGGAGAGACAGTGCCACAACCTGCAAGCCAAGTCTTTATTTTATAGCCAGATTCCCTAGGCAAAATAAGGGCGTGGTCAGGATGTTTACAATGTTCTCTCGGTTTCGAGTCTATTCAGTTACATGCACCTGAACTCTATCAAGCTTTGTTTTGGCAGCACTTGCTGTACCTCCCACAGCCTGTATCACTTAGCCACCTGGGACCACAGGTTTGGACCATAAGGTCAAACCTACAGCTATAGCCTTTGGTTATAATTGTGCTGGGAGGGCTTTGCCCTCCAAGCTGGGACTTGTAGTGGCTTTGCCACGAGAGGACCAGGCCCTCTCATTAATTCGAGGCTTGAACCTGTCCAAACACTGTAGCCGCTCTCCACACTGAGTGGTTAAAATTGTTGAGCTGGACCTTCAAAGGGAAATAGATATAGGGCAGTGGTTCTCAACCTTGGCTGCACATTAGAATCACCTGGGAATCTTTTTAAAATCCTGATTTCTAGGCCTCATCCTCCTGAAATTGTGTTTCTTTGTTATGGGGTGAGGCCACAACATTAGTAACAAAGAAACAGAATTTCCGGAGGATGAGGCCCAGAAATCAGGATTTTTAAAAGATTCCCAGGTGATTCTAATGTGCAGCCAAGTTTGAGAACCACTGATATAGAGTGATCTAGGCAAAAAAAAAAAGGCAAGGAGGAAGCCTTGGCAAGGATTGTAGCTATCTTTGAGTCATCTAAAGTGGCTAGAATGTCGAGAGTCAGCTGAGGTTTGAATGCTATATGGGGCCAGGCTTGTAAGAGAGGATGTTTACTTGTTTTAATTTTACTTAACTCAGTTCTTCATTATTATGACTTTATAGCCATCAATTCAGCAGCTGAGAGATCGGCTTTTTCATGCCCAGGGTGCTGATGTCTTGGGCCAGCAGTCTCCTCCTTTCCCCTTTCCTCGAGTCATTGTGGGAGCTACTCCCCACTCTAAAGAAACGTTATCTTGCAAATTGGGATTCCAGTCTTCTCACCAGGTAACACCTTGTTTGTTCATTCATTCAAAAATACCAATTAATGTCTACCAAGTGCCAGGTATGGTTCTAGGCACTCGGAATATATTAGTGAACAGAAATGATGAAAATTCTTGACTTCATAAAGCACAGATTCAGTTATTTTTCTAATAACTGTTTATTGAACAATTGCTTGGCTCTCAGAAAGGTGCACAAGCCATGATCCTTGCCCTTAATTAGCTTATAGTCTAGTGCAGTGATCGGTCGGCAAACTCATTAGTCAACAGAGCCAAATATCAACAGTACAACGACTGAAATTTCTTTTGAGAGCCAAATTTTTTAAACTTAAACTACATAGGTAGGTACATTGTTATTAACTTAATTAGGGTACTCCTAAGGCTTAGGAAGAGCCACACTCAAGGGGCCCAAGAGCCGCATGTGGCTTGAGAGCCACAGTTTGCCGACCACGGGTCTAGTGGAAAGATAGATATGTAAAAAATAAGTAAAATTTGTAACTGCCATAATTGGGGTATGATAAGGTGCCATGAGATGACACAGAAGAAAACAATTTACTCTGTGGGGGATGGGATGTTTAGGGAATATTTCAGAATGAGTATGATGTTTGATCTCAGTCTTTTTTGTTGTTAATCCTCACCTGAGTATATTTTTCCCCATTAACTTTTTATTTTTTTTAAATATATTTTTATTGGTTTCAGAGAGGAAGGGAGAGGGAGAGACAGAAACATCAATGGTGAGAGAGAGTCATTGATCGGCTGCCTCTCCTGCACACACCACAGTGGGGACTGAGCTCGCAACCAAGACATGTGCCCTTGACTGGAGTCGAAGCCAGGACCCTTCATTCCACAAGCTGGTGCTCTATCCACTGAGCCAAATTGGCTAGAGCTCCCCATTAATTTTTTAAATATATTTTATTAATTTTTTACAGAGAGGAAGAGAGAGGGATAGAGAGTTAGAAGCATCGATGAGAGAGAAACATCAATCAGTTGCCTTCTGCACACCCTCCACTGGTGATGTGCCTGCAACCAAGGTACATGCCCTTGACTGGAATCAAACCTGGGACCCTTCAGTCTGCAGGCTGACGCTCTATCCACTGAACCAAACCGGTTAGGGCCCCATTAATTTTTAGAAAGAGTGGAAGTAGTGGTAGAAACAGCAATGTGTGAGAGACATATTGGTTGGTTACCTCTCACACATACCTGACCTGGGCCGGGGATTGAACCTGCAACTCACTTATGTGCCCTTGACTGGGAATTGAACCCAAGACCCTTCAGTGTGTGAGCCAGCACTATAAACATGGAGGTCAATGCTCTGACCACTTAGCACACTGGTCATGGTTGTGTGATCTCAGACTTGAAGATTAAAAGTTATTTAGGCAAAGGAAGAGTTAGGTGAAGGCTATTTTAGGCATTGGGGACAGCATGTACAAAAGCATTGAAAGGAGAGTGAGCAAAGCCCATATGAGGAGCTACTAATATTTTAGTGACATTGCAAAACAGGTCTTTGTGGCAGTGGAGTAGGCTTAGATGAAGCCTGGGTTACAGGAGTTATATCAAGAAGGACCTGGCAGTCTGAACTAAAGAGCTTAGACTTGACTCTGAAATTGATAACAATCAGGAGCTATTGAATAGTTTATGCAGGGCAATAACTAGCTCTGCGTTCAGGAAGGGCAAAGCTAGAGGCAGTTAGGAGGCTATATAGAAAGAAACGATGAGGACATGAAATAATCTAAAGCTAGAGAGTGAGGTTGGATTTGAGATATTTAGTACATAGAATTAACAGAAATTAATGATAGTTAAGAGGAGTGTGTGAAGTGGGGGGACTGGCTCCTAGTTTCAGGCCAGATGGATAGGGTGCTGTTAACTTATGATGCCAGGAGCCATACTGGAGGGACTGGAGAACAAAATCCAATGAGATTGTAAATAGAAGTATTAGGCAGAAGTCACATAGGAATGAACTGGGAAGTCTCATGTATCCTAACCCCAGCCCACCCCACACCAACATCCTACAACAACCACAGTGCAATAACAAAACCAAGAAACTGACATTCGTACAATCCATAGATACAGATTTGAGATTCATATTTCACCAGTTTTATATATGTACTCGTGTGTGTGTGTGTGTGTGTGTGTATGTGTGTGTGTAACTATGTAAGAACAAAGAACTTTATCTTTTTAATAGGATCCTTCACAAAGCAAAAGTTTTTAATTTTATAGAGTTCAATTTATTGTTTTTCTTCTATGGATCTTGCTTTTTGTGTCAAGACTAAGAACTCTTTGCCTAGTCCAAGGTCCCCCAAATTTTCTCCTATGTTCTTTCTAGAAGTTTTATAATTTTACATTTAAGTCCATTTTACTTTGAGTTAATTTTTATCTAAGGTGTGAAATTTAGAGTAAACTTCATTTTCTTGCCGGTGGATTTCCATTTACAGAAAAAGCTGACCCTCCTTCATTGAATTTATTTTGCTCCTTTGTCAAAAATTCATTGGGCATATTCATATAGATTTATTTCTTAGTTCTCTATTCTGTTCCATTGATCTATGAGTTTATCCCACTACCAATACCACTCTCTTGATTACTACCTCTATGTAGTATGCCTTGACATGAGGAAGAATAATTCCCCCACTTTATTTTTCTTTTTTAAAATTTCTTGGGTATTCTAGGACCTTGCCCTTCCCACATAAATGTTAGAAAAAGCTTGTCTATGTAAAAAACTTATTTGCCCATATAGATGTGAATTTATTTCTTGGCTCTCAATTCTGCTTCATTGGTCTGTATGTCTGTTTTATGGCCAATACCATACTGTTTTGATTATTGTCACTTTGTAGTATAATTTGAAGCCATCAAGATCTTGATGACTTGTGTCTTTTCTCCTTATCATTGTTGATTTTTATAGAGATTTATCAATTTATTGATTTTTTTTAAAGAACTAGCTTTTTGTTTCATTTTTTTCTAGTTTTTGTTTTTCAGTTACTTACCCTTTTCCCCCTTTCCAAATGCTAATCCTTTATTCTCTTCACAGATTCCCACTCCATCTACAAGGCCAAGGATTTTCACACCCCAGTCATCACTAGTGATGCCCTTGGCACCTTCCCATTCTGGCCCTTATCAAGGCTCCAGAATGCAGAATATAAGAGACTACAGGGTACCTGAGCCCCAGGTTGCCCAGCCTTTGCCCCTGGGCCCTGGGGTAATGCCTGGTGAGTGAGTGAGCCGTCTGGGTAGAACATAGAAGAAAACAATTGGCATGGCCAGCGTGGATTTGAGAGGTAGTGTGTCTGTATAGTGAGAGGAGCTTGGAGTTTGAAGTCAGACTTCCCAGTACTGTCACTGGCTTTGTACCTATGGGCAATATGCTTAGCAATATACTGTTTCTTTTGAAGAGTAAGAGTAGTTGTTACGTTGTTCATTTCAACCCCCCAGGATTGTTTTGAGGGTCTAATAAGGAATACAGTCAACAATACTTTGTACATGGTAGATATCCATACGCATGAGTATTAATCATTTTTGTTATTACTATGTTTTTAAAAGTTATTATTGCTGCCTAGTCTCCCCTCATGTGCTCTGAGTCTCTCTCAAATTGAAATTCTGTTGCACTTCAGCTTTATCTCAGCCACAGCTGCTAAGAGGGCAAAGGACGCAAGTTCCTAACCTCATGGGATTCCCTGGAACATGGCCTCTTCCTGGTCCCCCTGCACCCATGGCACCCTCAGGCATCATGCAGCCTGATTCTGCCCCCCTGCCTGAGACCGCTCGACTGCTTCCTTTCCTTCCAATGAGACCACCAGTTCTCAGCCCTGTGAGCTCCCAGCCCCCAGGCCCTCCTGTCAGCTTTCCTGCAGCACACCCTCCAGGAGGACCAGGCGCTCCATGCCCTAGCACCATTCAAGCCACTGGCATCTTGACTCCTCACCCAGGTCAGTCTCCTTTCCATGGCTTTCTTTTTCTCAGCCATTGCCTCCCTCCCCTCTCCACCCCTCCCTCTACCACCTTAGGAATCTCTTCCTCAAACCCATGGACTGGGGCTCCTTTGGTTGGAGCATGTCAACTGAGAGTATAACTGGTCTTCAGAGGGCGGTGAGGTGGACTCCAACTAAAATAATTTTGATGGTCTTCATACTAAGAATTTCCAATGTTCCTGACCATGTCCCAAAATACTTGTCTTTGTATTACACAGGACCTCAAGATTCCTTAAAAAATGCTCCAGCTCCCAGGGCAAACCTCCAGAGGAGACAGGTCAGTACAGCCCCTTACCGACCCCCTCATACATTTGCCAGTGAGTAACCCACATTTTAGTTCCATACAGAATTCAGCCCAGTCCTTCCCATGCTCAGACATGCATTCTGCCCTCTCTTTTCCCACTCACTCTTCTTCCCTCAGCCCCCTCCTCTTTCCTGCTTACATTGTACACCAGTCTTCCCACTTCCTGGTTTCCCACTCACTATTCTGTCCACTGTTCACTCATAATTTCTACCACTGTCTCACATTAACGCCTAGGGAGTCTCTCAGCCTAGACTCAGGTGCCTCTCTTTCTCTCTCTTCAGTTGCCAGAGACATTTGTATCCACAGCACCAATTACTGCTCCAGTAATGAGCCTCGCCTCTGAGCCACGAGGGGTCCTTTCCTCACAGCCCCCTGTCCCTGGTGCGGGTCATGCTCCCCCTGGAGCACCAGGAGAACTCGGCCTGCAGGTGACGATGTGTTCCCCTCCCTTCTTCCAGCCCTCAGAAAAGCAGGGAGTGCCCTGGCCAGTGCGGCTCAGTTGGTTGGGCATCATCCCACGCACCAAAAGGTTGCCAGCTCGATTCCTGATCAGTGCACATGCCCAGGTGGTGGGCTCAATCCCCAGTAGGGGGCATGCAGGAGGCAGCTGATCCATGTTCCACTATCACATTGATGTTTCTTTACCTCTCCCGCCCTCTCTCTCTCTCTAAAAATTAATTTTAAAAATCTTTTTTAAAAAAGGAAAAGGAAAGCAGGGGCTTGGTAGATGGGCCTCATTCCTAAAGGTAGAGTCAGACTCAGAGCTGGGGAATGGAGGGACAGGCACCAAATATCCCTACTGTAGAGGGTGCCCCTACCCAACTCTGCTATGCTCCAGTGAGAACAGTGTGGTGCCGAGTCACTGAGGACTAGTCCTTAGGGAAGCTACGAGAAAGACAGCTTGCCCATCGGTCCTCTCTCCGCTTCCTCCTCAGCAACGGCCACCAGAGAAGGCCTACAGGAAGGAGCTGCCCCCAGAGCATCAGTCCTTGAAAAGCAGCTTTGAGGCACTTCTACAACGTTGCTCCCAGTCTGCCACTGACTTAGTAAGTCTCAACCTTCCCCACAATGCCCTCCTCATACCCTGAGCTGGTTCCGGGACCCCTGAGCTCTAGAGCAGTTCTTTGTGTGATCAGCTCTTTTCTCACTGTCCCTTGACATCATGTGCTTATTTGATCTCCATGCAGGGGATTGGGGTGGGGGTCGGGGGGCAGACACTTGTCTGATCTGAAGTCCAGCTCCTTGGCAGCAGGACCCAGTAGCATCGGGACTAAACTCTTGGAAAGGCAGCAGGAAGTACTCAAACGAGAGTGAAACCAGGAGTAAGGAACTTGCCATGCATTCACTGGCTGTGTCAGCTTGAGCGAGTCACGTACCCTCTTTGGGTTCCATTTCCTCCTTCAAAATGAAAGAAGTAGCCTCTAGCCATTCTGGCTCTAATCCACTGTGATTCTTTAGAGTCCTGTGTAGTGTGAGGTTTAGGGGCTAGAATCAGAATCCATTTTCCTCCCTGTAGAAGACAAAACGGAAGCTGGATGAGGCAGCCCAACGCCTCGAATGTCTGTATGAGAAGCTCTGTGAGGGGACAGTAAGTACACTTAGTGTGCTCCTCTGCCTCCTGCCCTTCCACCATCACCCGTGGCCAAAGGGAGTTCAAGTGCCCTCTGTCCTCTCCCTCTAGGTCTCACTGACCTGGGTTCCCACAAAATACATCCACGTTGCCTGGACTGTGCTCCAGAATTCAGTCCTCTCTTATCCTTTCCATGCCGCCAGGGTAGGGGCTGGTGTGGGCTTACTAACCGAAGGGCCAATCCCTCCACAGCTCTCGCCTCAAGTCCTGGCTGGGCTCCACGAGGTTGCCCGATGTGTGGACACAGGAAGCTTTGAGCAGGGCCTTGCAGTGCATGCCCAAGTGGTGGGCTGCAGCCGCTTCAGCGAGGTCTCCAGCTTCATGCCCACCCTGAAGGCTGTCCTCACCATTGCTCATAAGCTGCACGTCTAAGCCAGGCAGCCTCTCTTACCAGGAGGCCACTGCTGCTGTTACTTAACTGTTCTCCCTGCGGAAAAGGGAATTTCAGAATAGATTCTGTTTGTATTTCCCAGCCCTCATTCTTGTTGCCGGGTATATGATGCTGTAGGCTTGGCTCCAAACTGGCAGAGTGCCTGCTTTCTTTCCTGTGGCCTGGCCCTCGATCTGTCCAAGGCTTGCTCAGCCCCTGAGGCAGAGCATAGGGCCAATTCTGTACTTCCCCTAATACTCTTCCCTGAGGCAGGACGTGGGGCAGGGTATCTTCTCCCCAGGGATGTTCTGTTTAAGTGGCTTCTAAGAGGATGAGCAGGATCCAAGTCTACCTCTGCTGTACCCATCTTTTGGGTCTTTTGTTTTTCTCCTTCTGTGGGTTATGAGCCTAATCTTACCTTCTCCTGGCCTCTGACTTCATATTCCCAGGTCCGTATTTCTCTGAGCCCCAGTGGCTGGAGTAGAGTTGACTGTTCATCCTCTGAACAAGTCATAGACATGAGGGATGGGCACTGAGCAGAACCAAGGGAAGGAATGTTGGCCCTTTTCTAAAGGAATATCTCATCTGCCAGCATTATTCGGGGTGGGTCAGGTTAGGTGGAAGGGGTGCACTGCCTTTTGCTGGGAGCTATCTTGGCCTTGAGATAGAAGCAGAGGGACCACCGCCTATGGGAAACCGCCCCTCACTTGACCTGTCTGAGCCCTGGTCCAAGGAGGGCTAGACCATTCATTCTGTATGAGCCCAGCTCTGGAATAGGAGCCCTATTAACAAAAGCCTCTCTTTTTAGCACTGCTCCTCGAGGGTGGGAGGCCCTCTCTCCCTCACCCTCCACATGTCTCAGGGCTGCCTTCTCTGGCTGCACGTCCATGGTTGGATGCTGCATTTGAACTACTGATGTACTTAAGGTGCAATAAAGCTGCTTTGATTTGGTTTCCTCAGTCATCTCCCAATAATTGTCTCCTGGGTCCTATCTTCCTAGTCCTCTGTTCCTGCACCTCAATAAAGCAGGGGAGAGGCTTTGGGTCAGCTGGGGAATCAAGAGAGCTGAAGAAAGGAGGTGTCACTGAAATACTCTCCTTGCAGCATTTGTGGCCACTCCGCTGTGTGTGTGCGCGTGCATGTGTGCATGTGTGTATCTCCATCCGTGCCTGACCATCAGCCCCAGGGTTTTCCCCACCACTTCAGGCTGAGCTCAGCTGCACAAAGGGACTGGGTGTGAAGCCAGGGGCGACTATCTCTAATCCTGTTGTAGATCCCATCATGTCTGCGGGCTAGATGTGTGTGTTTGGGAGGAAGGGATTGTTAGGCAGTATTTGTTTGTAAAGCCACTTGCTCTTCAGATAATACTTGCACTAACTTCTATTGATGAAGCAGTGTGAGCCCCAGCAAAGTTCTTTCCCAAAGTGTCTTTGAAGCCAAGAGCCCATTGAAGAGAAGAAAGGCCGGGAGAGGGGATTAGTTTGTTCAGCAGCTGTGAATTTCAGTGGGAGGTTGATGAACTCCGAGGTCTTTGTTTAAATTAAAGAGGGAGGGGGAGGGAGCCACTGTTGGAGCGAGAGCCCCACTTGGGGCCCTGAACTAACACAAGGAGAAGTCTGAGCTGCAGGGAGCTGTGTACTGACTGCGAGGACTTTTCCCAAACACTTTCGGAAGAGGTGTTGTGAGAAGAGAAGGGGGCGGAGTGGGGGATTAGCATGTGAAATGAAGTTTTCATTGACTCCAGTGGGGGTAGAAAGCTATTTTAATGGCATTTTGTTCTCTTATTTTCTCTTCTTGAGCTCTTTAGAGGTATTGTTTTGCTAAGGCAGGCTTTCTTCCCCCTTCTTTCCAGTCTGTGGATTGCCTCTATGGGAGCCAACATAAATATTTCTCCTCCAGGAATGCGGGTTAATTAAAAGGAAATGAATGAGTGGAAGCATCCAATCCAGACCCACAATAGGCGAGTGCCCCGTCCTGCCCTCCCCTCCTACCACCACCAGCACCACCAGCGCTGAGCGTGACCCTGTCTCTGTCTCTGCCCTAACCTGCTGCTAAGGCCAATTGAGGCTCAGATTCTTTTCAAGAAAAGAAAGCCCTGCCTGTGTGTAGGCTTTCGGGCCAGGGACAGGAAGGAGACAGTGTTTTACACCACCTCCACCCCCCACCGCCGGAGTCCTTGTCACTTCTCAGGACCTCCCTCTGTGCCTGTCCTAAAGAGCACACAAGAGAGAAGAGGCCTGGGTTTCACTACCCACCCCATGGTAACGTACTCGCTGGTGGAACAAGCCAGACAGCGTTCTCGGCGTCAGTTTAAATCTATAAAACAGAAGGTTTGACTAGCTGACTGGAAGGTGTTTTCCCAAGCAGCCATTCTGGAGTTGTCCACGTTTGAAAGGGGAACACAGCCCTGGTGATTGAGTCTGAGAGAGAATCTAAACTCCATGAATGCAGGGAGAGCAATGTAGTGTTTACCACTGTTTCCACTCTGGTGTTTGTTGATGAATGAATGGATAATGCAGAAAGTGTGTGTGTGGCGGGGGGCGGGGAGAGAAGCAATACAATGTAAGGTAACTCAGCAATGTTTTCTTTATAGAACTTGGATGTATCTGGTATCAAATATATCCATTTGGGAATACAAACAGCCTGTGAAAGAACTTCCTGGCAGTGTGACATGTTTTGAGTATTGACCTGCAGTTATCAAATATGAAGGACAAAAGTTCTGCTTTTATGCCGAGACTCCCCTGGAGAATGCAGCTCTCCTTTACAACACCGTGCTGTTTTAGATTTTGTAGTTGCCTTGCCAGGTTTCTTACTGTACACTATCAAATACTCCGCCACGCGGGACAGCCAGATTGGTATATGCTGCTGCTTGATGAAGGAAGAAGGACAGGTTGGGAGACCCAAGAGACCCAGATCAAAGCTGAGGGAAGAAGCAAAGGCGTCTTGCTGGTGGAGCTGGGAATACAGGACTAGGGAACCCTGAAGGGAAGTGTGTCCCCTCTAAGGAGA